GGTGGAGGTGGAGGTGGTGGTTGTGGTGAACAATTCGGAAATCCTGGTCTTAGCCTTATTTAAATTAGGTTTTTTTCAATGCTCATTTTCAAGAAATACTGGAGAATGACCACATAGTTGTAAGATGCCAAAGAAGACGGAGTGGAGGATAGTAAACTGAGTAGAAAAAAATACCTCCTCCTCAGTGCAGCAGTTCATGTTGTTAATTATGCCCTTCTTGGATCCTATTGCATTCTAACTTTTCTCCTACCTCATTAAGTAAAAACTAAACAAGGTATCTAGTAGTGATTTAACAGTCTTCTTAGGCTCAGCTTCCTCTCATCCTTTAAATTGTGTTTCCTGGAGTTGGACACTATGTTTTTCTTGATCTACTCTTTTTCTAAGCCATCTTGTTCATTCCTATGGCTTTACCTACCATCTATAGGAGGAGTATGAATCCCGTTATCTACAACTGCAGTTCTGTAGTATTCCCTGAGAACTAAAATGTGTGTTTACTGGAAACCTTAAACTTGTTGCCTCATGGGAACCTCTAAACTCAGTCTTATACAAGGCAGTCTTCACAAAATTCACCATCTTTCTTCTATATTCTTCCTTCTCCCCCAGTGTTGGTTAGAAAAATGTCCCAACATACCCATTGCTCAAGCAGAAACCTGAGCGCTATTAGCCTCTGCTCCTCTCTTTCCCTTCCATCTTCTATTGAGTACTATCAATTCTATCTTCTGAGCATCTCTCAAAAATCTTCCCTTTCCTATTTCACTGCTACAGCTCAATAGCCTCGTATCAGTCTCTCACCATTTGGCCAGGGAATCATTTGGCCACTCCTCTCCCCCACGAAACTTTAAGTTCCTTAAGGAGAGAGACACGGTTTTCCTCATTTTTGATCTGTGCTTGCCTCCTCCCCCAACAATACTGCTGGACACAATGCTTTGCATGGTTTGTTGAATGAAGAATAAATGGAGGGCTTGTGAAGGATTACATATAATCTGTAGTTTCAACATTCTGGTATTTTTTTTTATCCACTTTCCTATATAAGTGATGGTTCTGCTCTTATAACAATCTATTAGTCTAACCTAAAAATCTATCAGAGATATAATTAATCCCAACAGTTTGCTTTGCTAATGGGGCTGGGGAAAAAGAGAGAGAGAGACCGCACTTTAGAAATAGAAGCCACTGTTGTCTTTATAAAACACAGAATTGTGCTGCTGTTGCTTGCTTTAGAAGGAACTGTACATTACAGCTGTTGGGAAAATTTTACAATGGACTGGACAAGGTACAGCTCAAAGCAGGACACAAACACAAGTCTCAAAAGGAAACAAATGCAAACAAGTACACAGCTGTGGGGCTCCAGGGACATTTCCCCATCCATGCTGGACTTGAGAGGGATAAAAAGTTTAGAAACTAAAGTGAAACCCAGAGTAGTCACACATGCCCACCAGATGGCTGCTAAGTGCAACATCACACACCAATCGGGTTGGACTGTGTGCACAGGAAAGTCATTTCATTTTTCCTTATTGCTACTACACCAGGGGACTCAGTGCATTTGACACATTGTCTTTATTTGCACAATCCTTGGAGGGTTTCCTATTTTCCTTTTTAAAGAAGGAAATCTGCCTTCCCCACCTTATTCTGTTTTATTTTGAGCCCATTCCCTCCACTCCCATTCTTAGGCTCCCAAACAGCAGCCAGAGGTTCTAAGTCAGTAGGAATAGAGTAAGGGGAGAGCACCAACCTAGCCTCTCTCCCTGCCTAGGGAGAAGGCAAGTCCTAATAAAAGGGGGGAAAGAGAAAACCAGAGAATCCCTTCTCCCCAATCTGCTTAGAAGGCTAAATAGGAAAGAGTGCCCTGCATATCCCTGCCATGATCAGACTTTAAAAGGAAGGCATCCCAGCTACCATCCTGGATTGGCCGAGGCCCAGTAAATATAAAAAATAACTTCCCCCAATGTAGTTTCCAAAACTGCATTTTGGCTAGTTTGAGATGACTTTCCACCCTGAAGGGGAAGGAACTTCCATTCTTCTTTGTTACACATGATGCCAGGTCTAAAACACTGTCCACCAGCCTTGCAGATAGATACCCCATGGGCCAGCAAAGAAGTCAAATTGTCCCCTTGGCTGCCCATCCTGAGTGCTAGCCTCATTTACTGAATTCTGGTCCCCAAAAAACCAGAAACAAAAACAAAAACAAAACCCATCCAAGAACATTGTTGCTTAGCCAATGAGGAGGCCTTAATGGGGCTATCTAGTAGGTGGGAACCAGGAGGTTTTTAGGGAGATTTCATGCTTTTAGGTACCTTCCTCATCATTATTCTAAACCTAAGTTCCCATCAACAATAGCCCCAGGCTTATCCCAAGGTTCAGCAATAGCACCTCAACCCCCAATGGGTCAGACTAGACTGGAAAAATGATCAATAAACAGTGCTCTTTCCCGTCTTTTATCCAAATTCTCTCCCATTTTCTTCCGATCACTCTCTTCTTCCCCATGTCCATCCCCTAACCCCCCAACACCGGAAACCAAGTAGCTCAACCCTAGGACATCCTCAGAAAAGGGAGGCCCCAGTAGAGACATGGAACCAGATCTAGAAAAAGCAATGAGAGAAACCAACCCCAAGGAATGGACAGGTGTGGAAGTTGTCAGAAGCCCTCCTGATTTCATGCCAGGTAGGCAGGCTTGCTGATCTGCCTTTGTATAACATTGATGGCAGTCAAGCCCAGAGAGAACATCACCAGGCTTGGAGAACAGATTCTTGGTCTTCTGCAGCCAAGGAGTATTAAGCCTGACCTTGCTAGCTAACAGTGGGATTATCATAGCCATGCAGAGAATTCATCATCACGTAGGCAGGCAGGCCAGCAAACAAGCTTAGTGAATTGAAAAAAGGAAAAGGACACCAGGGAAAGAGATAAGTAGAAAAGAGAGGCAAGAGAGTAGAATGAAGGGAGCAAGAGACCTGTCCAAGAGGATGAGGCTGGGGTCCCCCCAACACTTTCTCAGAGCACAAGTAAGAAGCACCACTTAACCAAATCCAAGAAATCCAAAGCTTGTTGCTAACACCACTTCTCAAACTGCATGCACCATCTTTCAAACAAGAATAATCCTCAAGGTCAAGGATATTTTTCAAGTCTCAAAGATTTAAAAAAAAGAAATCAGAGCAAGAAGTCATTTTTTTGCCATTGCCCAAACTGCTTCTCTTGCTTTTTTATTTCATGAATGGCATGTGCAATGCCTAAGGGCTAAAAAATGCTTTTTAAGCCCCAGCTCAAAATCCAAATGGAGAGAGTGAGGCAAAGAGAGAAAAAGGAGAACATAAACTTGTTGCTGAGAGTAGGTGGTTACCACCAGCTCCCTATGGATATTTGCAAATGCTGGTGAATGACTGGACCCTCCAGGAACAATGCCCTGATCCCAGCCCCTAAATGCACCCAAAGAAGAGAACATGCAGAGCCCATTGTCCCAAGAGAGCTCCCCTCCCCAAAGGGTGACTGAACACGAAGTAGACAGTATATGAAGGCGATGGACAGGGCAGATGGAGTGTTGGCATCACTCTCTTTAGGCACTTGTGTAAGGAATGTAGGCTCTCCAGTGAGCTGCCTCCTCCCAGAGCCCTCCATTCTGTTCTTCAGCTGGGCTGTGCCCATGGGGCATCCCATGCCGTAGCCAGTAGGAAAGAAGTAGAGGAGTTACTCAACAGTCCTGATGCCTTCTCCATAATCAATGTTTGTGCTACGTTTTGTGAAGTTGCTGAACAAAGTAGCCAACCAGAACAGAACCTGGGATAGACTGTTTTGCATAGCAAATCTGGGTCTGTACAAGGGCTGCTGGAGAGGGGAAATGGTAGCTCTAAGCACATAGGCCAGGATTCAGACTGGCCCAAGCCTGAGCTAGGTCTAAAGTGTCATGGCTTCATCACCAGATTGGGGCAAACCCAAGCCCAGGCTCCTCACAAAGAGGAACTTCCACACTGAAGCTGCAACTCCTCATCCCAAGCAGTGGGACAGGAAAAAAATGAACAGTTAAGGAAAGAGGGGGCCTTGCCTCAAGGCCAGCAGGCACCAAGCTAGAAACCCCCTACTTTTCCAGTTCTGCAAGACAGCCAAATCCCATCTTTATCCAGGGAGACAAAAACAAAACAAAACAAAACAAAAGGCCCATGCCACCCACTCACATGCCCTAGTGGGAAACTGGGAAAAATTCATTTGTGTAAACAGAAGCAATAGGGAGCAGCAAAATCCCCCAGCCTGTCCACAGGACACACTGGAATCTGGGATGAGCCAAAGTGTCAGAGGACAGTCTAGAGAAAGGGAAGATGCACTTGCAGGAAGAGTACAGGGCAGTGCAGAGGAGGGCGCCTACAGCAAGAAAACGATATTATCTGCACAGGGGAAGGGTGGAGCCTGAGCCCCACCTTGGGAGATAACCACTCTCCCTACCTAGCCAGGCCAAAGAATAAGTCAGGTACATAGTTCCTTCTGATGGCTCAATGTTTCTGGGATGTAAACTTATTGGGCATGGGAGGGATTTCCAGATTTTGGCAACAGACTCAAGTTATGGTATAAAAATAACATTTAGTTTTTGCTCTTTTTTTTTTCTTATTTTAGACCTAAAGATCATTTGTTATAAGACACCCCAGTTAAGAAATATTGAAACATAATCGACTTGACCATCAGGGGAAAAAAGAAGCCAAGAATGAGAAATGCGATGTAAGTAACTCCAGACCCAGGCAGGTGGGAAGGCTCGAGGGGGGGTGGGGGGACAGGGAGAAAAGGAGGCGTCAAGTGGAAAGGCCAAGGGCCAGTCATCTCAGCAGCTCCTAGACTTGTCATGTCTGAAAGTGCAAATGTCAATGGACTTTAACCATCTTGAGGTTGTGATCTTTTTAAAAGCTAAATGAATATGGAAGTTAATTCCTTTGAATGCAAAGTAGCTGGCCCTCTGGCTGGAGGCTTGTTGGGTTAGGGGTATTTCTTCCCCACCTACCTCCTCTCCCACCCCCACCCCATCCCCCCAAAGAAAGGTACAAAAGGTTGCAGTTCTGCAGCATTACCGTTACAGGGAAGGCACTGGTTACCCACCAGTAGGCGGAAGGAAGACAGGGTCGTGTCACTTCAGAGCTAAGTGCCATAGTGCCTTAAGTCTTACTAGGGGCTGGATGTCTGTCAGGGAGGAGGTGTAAGATGGGGTAGACAAAGTAGAGAGAAAGGAATAAGGGAAAAAGGGGTGGCAGCTGGGGGAGGAGCAACCAAAATCATTAGCATTAAAAATCTTCCTACAAACTGGATTTTCAACCCATTAAAACATCTAGTATTCTAAAATATTGATCTGGGTCTGGTTTCGTTTTTCCTCTTAAACAAATCTAGACCTTTTCTGATTAAGGCTCCTAAAAAATCCTTCCCTCCTCCCACCCACTTTCTCAAGCCCCTCACTCTCCCATCTAAAGTATCAAACCCAAACCTACCAGCTTTTGTCCACGGGGCTGCAGAGCCGACCTTACCAAGCTGTCAGGCATAAGTCTTTAGCACTGTGAGTCACATGAGACACCTGTGTGTATGGTGGGCACCAGTGCTGCCCCTCTTGGTCCAGTGGGGTCAGGGCCAGATGTGACAAGATGGGTGGAGGGGTGGGGGTCATGAGGTGGACATCAAAGATTTCTGGCTGGTGGTCTGGCTTACTGGCCCTGTTCCCCACCCTTTTGCCCCCTTTGTAGAAGAAAACAAGGCCTTCTGAACGCCTCCCTACCCTCCCTCCTCCTCCTTGCTTCCTCTGGATTTGGGCGGCACAGCTCTTGGGGCTTGGAAAGCTTTCTTCTATCCAGTGAGGTAACAGCGTTCTGCCTTCAAGCGAAGTACATGGTGCGCAGAGTATCCTGGTGAACCTGCACGGCTTTGGCCAGGGCCTGGGGGTCCCGCCCATTGCTCTGCCCCGATATGTGGCTCCCCTCTCCACTGAAAAGCAAAAATGAAAGAAGTCCTTCCTGGTGCACTGAGCTGCTGCTAATCCATTCCCCCATTCAGAGTACCAATTCCTATACCAAGTTAAGAGAAAGCCCCAACCCAGATTTGGGCATATGAGCCCAAAGATACCATATTATATAATATTCATTTCCTTCTGCCCAAGGAAAGTTGAGAGGATCTAGTACCAGAGGCTGATGCAAAAGAAAAGCCACCTTGATCCTAGGCCTCACCTGTCATGTTCCTTGTCCACTAGGTGGTATCGTGCCCGGAAAGCCACCAGGCGGGCATAGTAGGCAGGTGCTGGGATAGAGACGGAGCGTGTGCATCGTACGTAAGTGTGGCACAGCTGGTACGTCAAGATCTGGAGCTCATCCGCTGTGAAACGGTTGTCATCCCAAAGGACATAGTAATGTGACGGTCGGCTGGTGCCCTGGGAAGATAGGAAGGTGAGGGGGCCCCAGGTTGGGCAGAAGGGATGGCCAATGCTAAGGAATAGGATCACTATTAAGAGTGTGGTTGGGGGGATCCCTGGGTGGCTCAGCAGTTCAGCACCTGCCTTCCGCCCAGGGCGTGATCCTGGAGTCCTGGGATGGAGTTCCACATAGGACTCCCTGCATGGAGCCTGCTTCTCTCTCTGCCTGTATCTCTGCCTCTGTGTGTGTGTGTGTGTGTGTGTGTGTGTGTGCATCTCATGAATAAATAAAATCTTTAAAAAAAAAAAAAGGAGTGTGGGTGGGTTGGAAGACACACACACAAAGCTACCTATGTCACAAAATACCCTTGTTATGGGCAATCCTGCCTAAGATGCTCAAAATGTACTTCTGTTCATATACGCTAAGAGCTTATTAAGAGAATAATCCTGTTCTGAATGCCCTCAGTGACACCTGATATATTTTAGAGACAATGGGAATAATCAATTCATTTTTGACCCATTGGAAACCCCTGGACATAGTCTGTCTACCTGGATGCCTGCATGGCTGCACAGATAGAAGTCGAACTCAAATGGGTGGGTGATGTTGGTGTCCACAGTTGTCCCAGCTGGGATGTTACCACTCTTCCCAATCTGTATAGAGACAAAGACAACCAAGATCCCAAGATCCCAAGGTCTGCCTGGCCCACCAGAATCTCAAAAGTAAAGCAGAAGTTGCTGTTCCTAGAGGGTATTAGATATTAAAATAATGGGCGGCTACTGTCACACAGACCTGATTTTACCATTCATTAGCTGTGTGACTTTAGCAAGTCATTTAACTTTTTTGAGGTTAAACTGGAGGTAATAATACCTACCTCACAGGGCTGCTGTGAGGAAGACACCTCGTACAGTGTCTGACATATAACAGAACTTCAATAAATAGTACTTCCCTTTTCTTCTCTGGGAGCTGGTCTATAGAAGGGTCTATAGGCGAGGGAGCTAGGATGAAGGAGCTGGAGTATAAAGGCAGGAGGGGACAAAAGGAAAAAAGGGAAGGACAAGAGCTGGGGGGAAGGGGCCAGAGACAATAGACAAACCAAGGATTAAATCCCCAAATTTATCTCAAGGGCTTTTTCCATATTAAGAGAAGGGAGACAGGATAAGGGTATGAGTGGCTTCCTCAATCTCTTACTCACTCGTTCATTCTTGTCAGCACAAAAAAGGCGTGTATGATGGCGTTTCTGCACTACAATGTAAGTGATCCCAGGCTGGTAGTCCTTTTCCAGTTTGATGCAGGCATCACGAATGGCCAGCAGCTCATAGTGCAGGATCTAGGCACGAGTGAGAAGGGAGACAAAGAGACATATAGCTTCTCCTAAGTCACATCTGTGTGAACTAGGAGGTTGCCATTTGTATATGGCTTTTTGCTCAGTCTCTTTATAAGCTGATACCCAACCATCACAGATGACAGAGCCTTCCTGTAAAATTAGTCTTATACTCAGTTGCCATGATATGTTGCTAAAAAACCTTGGTTGGGAGGCTGGCATCAGCAGAGAACACTCACCTGGTTCCTATAGATAAAGACACAGAACCAAAGCACACAGACATCACTAATATCACAATGCCCAAAGTAAGGTCAATTTCAGAATCAGGAGGATAACAGGAATTCCCCCTGAGCTCCAAGAGCAGACAGTGCTGAGATCACCAAAGAAGAGCAGACACATAGTTCAGGAATTGGTACAGAGGGAGTAGATGAATTCAGTCCTACAAAGAAGCAGGATTATAAGAAAATGGGCTAAAGAAGAACCCACAAGTAATTAACCATATGCAATAGTTGCCTTGTGGCCTTAGAAGTCAGATATAGGGAGTCAAAACTGTATGGTAGAAAATGGACAGAATGGAAATCAATTAGAACTAGGTTTAAACCCAAGCTTTATCCAGTTATATTCCTATTAGCAAGCTGCTTAACCCTCCTAAGTCTCATTTTCTCCACATCTACTAAAGTTAGCCTCACAAAACTGTTGTGAAAAGTGTAACAGATTAATTAAATAAAAGTATAAAAAACCTAGTAGGGGCTTAATAACTCCTGATTGCTTTGCTAAGCAGTTTGAATTTTAACCTAAGACTATGTGAAGCTACTAGACATTCCTGAACAGAAAAATGATAGTATAAATTTGTCTGCTGTTTTAGGGAAGACTGGATGACTTAGAGAAAACTGAGAAATGGATGAGAGCATAAACTCAAATCACACCAATTTGTCTGAATCCCAGTTCCACCATTGTTTAGTTTGGTTGACACTGAAGATATCATTTAACATTTCCAAGCCTCAAGTTTCATCATCTGTCAAATGGGATAATTATTATTTCATAGGGTTTTTCTAACCATTAAGTAGAACACATATGAAGTGCTTACCACAATTCATAGTACATAAGAGGTGCTCAATAAATAACAGCTGTATTAATATTAAGTGGTAGTCAAGGAGACCAGTTCATTATATACTCTAAACAACAGAATATGAAGACTTGGCAGGGACAAAGAATAGGAGGAACATTCTGAAGGAAGGTCAACAGCAGTAGTTCTCAAAGTGTGACCTCCAGACCAGCAGCATCACCTATGTAGGAACTTGTCAACTACAAATTCTAGGGGCACCTGGGTGGCTCATTCAGTTAAGTATCTGCCTTTGGTTCCGGTCATGATCCTGGGGCCCTGGGATCAAATCCCACATCAGGCTCCCTTCTCGGTGGGGAGCCTGCTTCTCCTTTTCCCTCTATCGCTCCCCCTACTCGTGCTCTGTCTCTATGTCAAATAAATAAGATCTTAAAAAAAAAATTAAAAAAAAAGGGAACTATAAATTCTAGGGACCATCCTAGACTAACTGAATCAGAAATTCTTAGAGCCTACAAACTATTTTAAGCAGCTCCTCATGTGATCTTGAAGCATGCTAATGTTTTGAGAACTATTGGTCTAAAGAATCAGTCTTCAACATGAACCAAAGAGTAAATAGGCATTGAGGGTCTTCTGTTATAAGAAAGGTCTGTAGATGCTTGTGCACACGACCTCTCAGTTGTGATGTCTCTTCCTAAGCCTTACTGCCATTTAGCAAAGCTCTCAAAGTACCACCTCCCAATGCCAATAGCTTTAAAAAAGGGAGCAGTACTCTCTGCACCCATTAGGCCCTTTGGCCCCAATGTGAAGGTTTTCTTCACCTACTTTGGGCCCTACCTGGGGGAGCTGGCCTTCAGGAACCCCATCTCGGTAGAAGATGATGCGGGTAGGCTTGAAGCGGGTAGACTTGTAGAACTGGATGAGCAGCTCACGCACCATGTAGGATAAGTCTTCAATGATCTCCTGCCGGGGTCGCTGCACCCGCACAGTAGCACAGTAACGGCTGGGGTGGGCATCCATACTGCCTACCACCTAACAATCAAAGAGGCAGGATCAGCCTCCAGAACTTCCACCCTCCCAACACTGTTAGGATATGGATTTGGAGAAGGCTTCTTAGCAAGAAAACTATGCAATCAAATTAGTAGGGTTTTGGATACAATGAGTCCTGGTTTCAATCTCTATCATGCATGCAGAAGTTATTTAATCCATCTGATATTCTTTTTCCTCTCAAATAGATAAGAATGCCACCTGCTTACAGTGCTACTCCTTGCAGGGATGCCTGGGTGGCTCATGGGTGAGCATCTGCCTTTGGCTCAGGGCATGATCCCAGAGTTCTGGGATCAAATCCTGCATTGGGCTCCCTGCGGGGAGCCTGCTTCTCCCTCCACCTATGTCTCTGCCTCTCTCTGTGTCTCTCATGAAAAAATAAGTAAAATCTTCTAAAAAATTAAATTAAAAAAAATAAAACACCTTGCATAAGACCTAGCCCACAGTAAGTACTTGGTAAGTTCGATTTTCTTACCCCTTGCAGGAGGGTAATGTGAAGGTCTGGCACTACCAACTCAAAGAGCTACAAGTTTGTCCTTTTCTCAATTTAAGTACTAATCTACGCAGTAATCACAATGAAGAGTGTTCCTGCAGGAGGTAGGAGTAATATCATTTTTAAAGGGGACGTGGCCAGAGCCTAGGATGGACAGCCACAAGGAAAACAAGGATAAGCATAGCATAGTATTTACCTGCATTTACTGTGATTAGCCCCGTTTGCCTAGAGAAATGTGAGGGTTGAGAAAAGAGAAGTGGGAAGAAAGGCCTGATCCCTAGCAATTCAGAAGCCCCTAGGGATGGGGAGCAGAGAAGCCAGAGACGGATTGGAAAGACAACTAATCTATTAGATGGATCAGGGGTAGGGATGGGGAAGAGGAAAGAACAGTCAGTCCCAGCAACTAGGTAACCACCTTAAAAAGGATTTCAGAGAAGAGATATGGTCTTTCCTATATCCCAAAAGTGGGCATGGAGAGAGAGAGAGAAATCTGAACACAGAGCAAGAGTGATGGAGACTGGTCAAAGTCTCTGGCCACCGCCTACACTCTCACTGCTCTCTCTGAAAAACAGATACCATACAGAGTTAGTTTAATGAAGATACCAAGGGAGTGGTTAATGGGAATGATCAGCTAGAAAAAAAGTTTTTATGAGGGGTCAAGCATCAGAGCTGAGGGAAGGATATTATGTGCAGTCTTCGAAGCTCAGAGCTAAAATGAGAACCTTAAGAAGAAGCTGGAGAGTATCACTCACTGCTGTGATAGAAGGTTTTTTCCCATCCCCTGCTGGGGGGTGTGTAACATCTGCTCCCAGGAATATCACTGGCTGTTGAAAGACGGCAGAGCTAAACAAAGAAGAGAAAACAAATGGTGAGGAGTTGGATCTTCTCTTCCTGGCACCATCTAGTACCCATTTTGGTCATCTCTCCCTTGTGTCTGATTCACTCTGCCTGGCCAGAGTCCTATCGTTTTGACAATCCCCGACATGGTACCTTGCTTGACGGGGCAAGTGGGCAACAGAGTTCATACCGCTGGTGTGGGACTAGGATGTTGTTAATGCCACCAAGTTTGACATTGATCTTCAGGCAGAGGTTGGATAGAGTCTGAGGCGAGGTCTTGACCACATTCTTCACTTGCACACACTGTGTAGCCATTCCCAAAAGTGTATCTCCAACACGTTTCACTTCAGCTATAAGCAGGGAGAGAAGTAATTAGTGCATTCAACAAATATTTACTGAATGCCGGATAGATGTCACGCAGGATATAAGAAGGTAAGAATACAATGATAACCAGAAACATAGAGTCCCTAATCATAGTGGTTACTGTCTAGTGACTAATCTAAAAATCATGAGAAGTACAACAATGATAAATGCTACAATAAAAAACTTCATGAAGATATGAGAGCATATATCAGGGGATAATAACCCAGTCAGGAAAGGACTAAATAATGATAAAAATGAAACCCAGTGGTGGAAAATCATTAGAAGAGGGGTGGAGTTGGGGCATTCCAACCAGAGGGAACGGCATGCAAAAATGCACTCTGATAGGAGTTCTGCTTGAGAAACTGCAAAGCTGGGTAGCCCAGGTGGCTCAGCGGTTTAGCGCCACCTTCAGCCCAGGGCGTGATCCTGGAGACTCGGGATCGAGTCCCATGTCGGGCTCCCTGCATGGAGCCTGCTTCTCCCTCTGCCTGTGTCTTTGCCTCTCTCTCTGTCTTTATCTCTCTCTGTCTCTCATGAATAAATAAAATCTTAAAAAGAGAGAGAGAGAGAGAGAGAGAGAGAGAGAGAGAAACTGAAAAGCCAAAGTAACTAAAAAGGAAAGTAAAGGACAAATTGAACACCAATAAAAAATAAATTTATTATTAAAAAAAAAAAAGGAAAGTAAAGAAACCATGGTGTAAGAGAAAGAATGCGGCTATCAGACTGACCTAAGCAAGAACTGAGGGTTGCTTGTACTAAGAAGACAGTTACTTAAGATAGAAAGAAACAAACAGGGGATCCCTGGGTGGCGCAGCGGTTTGGCGCCTGCCTTTGGCCCAGGGCACGATCCTGGAGACCCGGGATCGAATCCCACGTCGGGCTCCCGGTGCATGGAGCCCGCTTCTCCCTCTGCCTGTGTCTCTGCCTCTCTCTCTCTTTCTCTCTCTCTGTGACTATCATAAATAAATAAAATAAAATAAAATTAAAAATTAAAAAAAAAGAAACAAACAGGTTCAATAGAGATTTAAGGGACTCAGAGATGATATACATAAGGAAAAAGAATTTTTATGGATAAATTTCAAGTTTCTAGCTTTTGTAATAAAACAGGTCATAAATTATTTTTGAAACCTTTTGAGTTTGAAGTGCTTTTTGGTTATCCCAGTGAGGATGTCAATTAGGTAATGAGAATAGTAGTTCAAAGTGCAAAAGCAGTCTGAAAGGACATGCCAATATGTTAGATATTTTGTACAGAGGGTAATTAAAGGCATGATCTTGATGAGATCATCAAGGAAGAGAACAGCTGAAAGGAGGAAGGCTTAGACCTGAATCTTGAGGAACCCCCAGCATTTGCAGAACAATTAAGAAGATGAGTCTGCAAAAGAGAAATATCCAGAGAACTAGGAGGAAGACAGAGTTGTATCATGAATACCAAGGAAAATGAGAGTTTCAAGGAACAAGTGTTCAACTAAGTCAAATGCTACCAAGAGATCTAGTAAAATAAGGACTAGAAATGTCCTTTGTTTTGTTTTTTTAGTAGCCTCTATGCCCATCATGAAGCCCTAATGCATGGCTTAAACTCATGATGGTGAGATCAAGACCTGGGCTGAAATCAAGAGTCAGACACTTAGCTGACTGAGCCACCCAGGTGCCCCAGAGATATTCTCTGAATTTATCATTACAGAAGAAATTAATATATAGAGGCAAAAACTATTTTGCTGATACAAAGTGCCAAGGTGGAGATGTGGGATCAATGAAAGATTTAGTATGTTTTCGATGAGAGAGACCTGAACATATTTAAAAAGCTTAAAGGATCATTTCCACTATCAAGAGAGACAGAGTAGTTAGTGGCCAACCAATGCTTCTGCAGATAAAATTCAGAAAAGCCAGACAAAATACAGAAATCATCTTTTGAAGGCGGCAGAGAGGTGCTGAGACAAGAACTAAAGAGGCAAAAACTCCAGAGAGGAAGAGAATCTCACCAAGTTGAGCTATCTTCTGCAGCTGCTTTTTGTTAATTCTAGATGTAGACGAGAGGCTGAGATTCTAAGCTTTGCACAAGCAGAAGAACCACTGCCAGGGGACAGAGAAAGCAAGAGTTTCTGGAAGAGACAGACTAATTCCAAATGTGAAAGGTCAAAACACATACATACATTTATTTAAAAGAAAACATAGACTAGTATCTTATGATCTTGGGATTTCTTAAAAAGGACACAGAAATTACTAATCATAAAGAAAAAATATTATACAAATTGGAGTACATTAAAATTTTAAATTTCTGTTCAACAAAAGACTCCATTAAGAAAGTAAAAAGGCAAGTCACAGAGAAGATATATGTATGTATATCTTCTGTATGTATATATAATACACGTACATATTAAATAAAGGAATTATAAATCAGTAAGAAATGAATCACCTATAAATCAGTAAGAAAAAGGTAGTTAAGGCAACAAAAAGAAAAGGGAAAGACTTGAACAGGCACTTTACAAAAGAGCCAATTAGATGGCCAATAAACATATAAAAAGACACCAAACTTATTAATCATCAGAGAAATTCTATTAAAAGCACAACACATGGGACGCCCTGGTGGATCAGCAGTTGAGCATCTGCTTTGGCTCAGGGCATGGTCCCAGGGTCCTGAGATCGAGTTCCACATTGGGCTCCCTGCGAGGAACCTGCTTCTCCCTCTGCCTATGTCTCTGCCTCTCTCTGTGTCTCTCATGAATAAATAAATAAAATCTTAAATAAAATTTAAAAAAAAAAAAGGAACACACACACAAAAAGCACAACACAGTATCACTAGACACCATAAAAATGGCTAAAATGAAAGAAACAATACCAAATTTGGTAAGAGTAAAGCATCTATAATTCACATACAATGCTGGTAGAAGTGTAAACTATATACTCAAAATTCCTCCTAGGTATACAACCAATGGAAATGAAAATATATATGCTCAAACAATATGTATAAGAATATGTGCAGAGGCATTATTTAAAACAGTAAAAGCAAAAAAAAAAAAAACAGTAAAAGCTGGAAACAACACAAATGTATCTGCATTGATAGAATGGATAAACATCTAAATTATGTTACATAATGTTAACAAACTACAACTAAACAAACATGGATGAACTCACAAACATAATGTTGAGTCAAAGCCAGACACACCAAAAGTACATAATAAATGATTCATTTACATAAATTTCAAAGACTGTCAAAATGAATCTATGGCACTAAAAGCCAAAAGTGATTACCACTGATAGGAAGCTGTAGTGACTAGAAGCCGGAGGTGGTGGTCAAGTTTTGCTCCCAAAACTGGGTACTGGTCACCCTGCTGTGACTTTTTGTAAAAATTCACAGAACTGAACTCTAGATACTCTAGATTTCTAGATGTATACTACAATAAAAAGTTATTTTTAAAAAAAGGATAATAGTACCGATTTAGTGGAGAGGAAAGAGTTAAATATAAAGCACAGGGTGAGATATGGCACCGGATCCGAAATGGACAAATGTGACACTGTCCCCTTCTACACTCTCAGGGCAACCACAATGCAACTGGATCTTGCTCTGTTTGGCCTCCAAGAAGGCAAGGTGAGGGTCTTAAGAGGAGCAGTTAGATTCTTCTAATCTGCTGGCTTAATTCCTAGGCAACTGTCTTCATTGTCCAAGTGGTATATAATCAAGGAAGAGAATGTAAGTAGAAGAAACCCAAGGTTTCTGATCAAGGTTGAAACCTGACAGAGGTAAAGCATCACTGAGCCCAGGGTGGGGAAAAAATCTCTGAGTGAGCACTGCCTTCCTCAGGCATACTGCAAAGTAAGGTATTCCCCAGGTAAGCCAATAATGGATTCTCCCTTTAATGAAAGGAACTAGAAATGTAGATAATTACTCAAAGCAGTACTAAAAAGTAACCTTAGTTTGCATCCAAGGATATCGATTAAAGGCCTAGAGACATGGATTGGAGGTTAATCAACTTCCCTCCATTATCAATTATTGAGTATGACGTTAGTGGAAGGCTTTACCTTAGATTCATACGTGCAGATGGAAGAAGGTTTCAGAGCAAAAGAAGATCTACTCGACACTCAAAATAATATCAAAGAAGGCAGCAACTTAAAAAAAAAAAAAAAAAAAAAAAAAGGGATCCCTGGGTGGCGCAGCGGTTTGGCGCCTGCCTTTGGCCCAGGGCGCGATCCTGGAGACCCGGGATCGAATCCCACGTCAGGCTCCCGGTGCATGGAGCCTGCTTCTCCCTCTGCCTGTGTCTCTGCCTCTCTCTCTCTCACTGTGTGCCTATCATAAATAAATAAAAATTAAAAAAAAAAAAAAAAAAAAAAAGAAGGCAGCAACTGATCAACAGCCTGATAAAATTTCCAAAGGAATCTGGAAAGATTTATCCTCTAGGTAGGATGGTAAAAGATGGCTTCCAGAAATAAGTATATTTAGATTGAGGCCTGATGGATAGAATTTTAAGGGCAATATGGGCAATAAGAAGAAGAGTACTTAAGATATTCTAGAAAAAGGCAAATGATGTAAGCAAAGCCAGAGACTAGAAAGCACAGGCAAAAAAATAAGCATGTAGATGTGCCAGGCACTGGGTTAGATGTTGCTTGTTATATAATTAATTCATGACTCAGAAAGGTTAGCTAATTTGTATTAATAAACTGGCATAGCCAGGACTAAAATCCATTTCTTTCTAATTCCAGAACAAGTGATGTTTCCAGTATGTGTGGCAAAGGGAACAATACAAGATAAAGCTGAAAAATTGTTATTTTGTGAATTCATCCAATGAAGTTTTTTGGGGGAGTAGTCACAAAAGGTCTCATCCAGTAAATGAGAAATCTTTCTTATTCAAGAGAATATATCTTAAGACTGTAAAAGAGAAGAAGGTGGAGATGGAGTAAAGAGAACACAGACTGCCTCCAGAGTTTGGGTGAAGGTACCCAGAAGCAATTACAATGCCAAATACAGAAGACGTAAAGACAAAAGCTTACTAATAAAGACAGAAAAGAAGCTACTAAAGAGTTGTCCAGGGGTGTGGGGGGGAAAGGGGTAGGGGAAAAAAAAGAGTTGCCCACCAAAACACATCATAAGAGCAGAGACTACATCTGTTTTCTTCACCAATGTATTTAGGACCTAGCATAGTGTTTCACACATAGTAAGTGATAAATAAATGCTTATAGAAGGAAGAAAGGTCAAAGGGACAGATGGGAGTGGCAGAGGTCAAGGGTTGGACCAAGATTTAATAATACATTATAACATATTAATAAGAGGTGATGGCTTTAAGCAACTGAAATAAATGAAAATTTCACTAGAATATAAAGATAGAGAAGGCAGGGTATAGAAACCTGGAAAAATACCAAGCATATCTGGTAATGACAAAATAAAGCAAGACAGAGAAAATCAAGAGAAGTGAGAAAGGTCACCGATGGGTCTCTGTGGATGAAGTTTCAGAGAAAGTCAGAGGTAAGACAGATGAAAGGAGTAAGCAGCTAGGGAGGAAGTGGGTCTAGAAAATGTGGAGAACTCTTTCAAAAAGTATGATGAAGAAAAACAAAAAAAATAGGAAGACAAAAGGTAAAGGAGATGGCCTGACTGGTAATGTACTCTTGGATGGGGAATCTGAACAAGTTTGAGGGATAAAGGGTACGAAGTCCCACAAGTGGCAGGATGAGATGGGAACAAGAGCATATATGGGTTGAACCAGGAAAGTGGAGGGACACCTCTTCCTTTCAAACAGGAGAGGTTCTGGGAAAACAGTAAAAGAATTGAGCCAGATACACACACACACACACACACACACACACACACACACACACACACACACACACACACATATAGTCAGACCTACTCTTAAAAGCGGGAGAGAAAGAAAACTTCTCGGAAAGTCCAAGTCATTCCCAAGCAACAGACTACTTCTAGAACCACCACAATTTCTGCCTGAGTATACTGCACAATGTCCTACACCCTCCTAGGGGTAGGAAGGAATCTGGACTGACCCATATCTGTGTTTGGCTCAGCTTAGCCTGGCATTAAGACCAGCACATAGAGGACCCCAGTAAATGTTACTGGGATGGAGTGTGAGCAGGTAAGCGGAACCTGGGATAACTCAATGGCTCACACGGGCTAATATTTCTCCTTCAAAAGGAATACCGATGTTAAGGAAGAACTCTGACTAGAGCAAAGAACCCACAGGAGCCTCCAGGGAGTCCTATCTTCATTATCATTGTCCCCAGAGAACTGTACCATACACTGGCGTCTTCCCTGGCAGGATGACGATAATGAGCTGCAGCCCTGAGTAGGTGTTCTTGAGATGCCGGAACATGGGCTCCACGCTGTCTGCCCCCTGTGCGTATTTGCAGAAGCAAGGCTGGCCCTGGATGGGCATCCCTGCATCCTTGGAAATCTTCCGCAGCTGGTCTGTGAAGTTCCTGCAGCACAAGTATGGTCATGACAGGAGATAATGAGTCCCACTTTAATACTTCTGAACAAATGCCTCCATCTTAGGTACCTAGCACTATGATAGCCACTGAGACATTCTGAGATAAATGAGACATGATCACAGCCAGTATAAAAAACCACATTTATAAGTTGAGTAGGACAAAATCAAGCTTGCTAAGTATTCAATGGTACAGGCAGAGAGCCAAGGGAAGGGACCTGTGGGAATTCTGAGTCCCCGCCTTGTCCCACTCAAGTAGCTGATTCCTGTGCACTAAGTCTGTAGCAACAGGCAAATGCCGGAGAGAAAGGTCTCTGCTCATATTAAAATAAGCTCCAACAGTGATCAGAACACAGGAAGTGCTCAGTAAAAATCAGCTCCCTCTTCTCCTACTGATTCTTTGTAGCCTAACAGCAAATAGAAAAAAAAAAAAATTAGGATTTTATTTGAAAGAGACAGAGCATGCAAGCATGAGCAGTGAGAAGAGTAGGAGAGGGAGAATTAGACTTTCCACTGAGCAGGGAGCTGACCTGGGGCTCCATCCCAGGGCTCCAGGATCATGACCCAGAGTTAAAGGCAGATGGTTTAATGGATTGAGCCACCCAGGTGCCCTCCTAAGAGCAAATCATTAAACAAAGCTTTTTTCCTTTGGCTTTAGGGCTTTACCCTAGGAAAGGAAGACAAAGTTGGAAGAAAGGGTACACATGCAGTAGATTTAAAAAATCAAGCTACATAAATATGATGACAGACTGAAATGAACAGCAGGAAATTAAACTTGTGAAAATCATACATTTAGATTAAAAGCAATATACAAATAGAGAATAAAAGCAATTATCTAGGGGACATTTTATAGCATATAAATACCAAAATGATAGATTCAAAAGTCTATGTAGTGAGAAAGTATTTCTTCAAATATTTAGTAAAAATAAATAAATAAATAAATAAATAAATAAATAAATAATAAAAAAGGCAAACACAAGATAAATACAATATGATACTGTCGTATAAAATGTAAAATCTCTTAAGGGGTGCCTCGGTGGCACAGTCAGTTGGATATCTGACTCTTGGTTTTGGCTCAGGCTGTAGGGTCAAGCCTGGGGTCAGGCTCCATACTCAGCTTTGGAGTCTGCTTGGGCTTCTCTCTCCCTCTCCCTCTGCCCCGGCACCCCCCTTCCCACCCAGTGGGCTGTCTCTTTCTCTCTTTCTCTAAAATAAGTAAGTAAATCTTTTAAAAATTTTATAAATCATTTGTATGTAGGTATATAAAACATATAAATTAGATGGAAGGTCACATTTCATGACAGTGGCTGCATCCGAAGGGAGGAATAGAATGAGGCTGGAGGATATAAAGGAACAACTAATTTAATCAGTCAGATTTAGTAAGTGGGTCTCTACTGCAAAGGAAGTGGTATTCCCAATCTTCTCTCTCCACTAGATCACACTTGGCATGCTGTGTCCTGTGCTGGGGGCCAGGTGTTGAAAGAAGTCTAGAATGGGCAAGATTTTGAAATCCTCTCCTAAAAGTGATATAGTTGAGGTAAGAGAATTTCTTTAGCCAGAAGGAAAATTCTGAGGATTGACCCTAGGACTTCATCCAATCCCAATTACTAATTTCTCCACCTCCACAGTCACCTTCACTTCTCCCTGTCTCACTAGAGGATGCCTTTTCCTGTGCTCTGGATCCCATCCCCTCACACACCTGTAGGAACTTCATTCTATTTCCAGTTTCTCTCAGTTCCTACTCTCAGCCTCTGTTCACTATGTACATTCTCCCTGGACAATCTCATCCACGGCCATACCTGAAGACTCCCAGATTTTAATATTTAGCCCAGAATCAAACATCCAACTCAGTACCACTGACCCAGGTGAACAAGTCATATTCTTACTCCTTGCATCCGAGGATCACTGATGAACAGACTCACAACTCCAAGATTCTAGGTTTATCAGTTTCTGTACCCCAAAAAAGCTAAAACAATGGATTGTTTCTCAAGAGAACTGAACAGGGAAAGAACCTGGGAATAAGAGAGAAGCACAGAGGGAACAGAGCTACCAGCAAGCTGACACAAAGGCGGACGGCTAGGAGCCTTTCCAATATTGCTAAGGACCAGTTCTTCAATAGTAGGTCAAGGCTACGAGTGGCCTGACCTAAATGGCGGTAAAACCCCCCAAACCCAGGAAAGGGACAAAAGGAACTCATTTGAAAGAAACTAGAAATGTGATGGTGGTAGTTGTGCGTCTGTGGGGGGACAGGAGAGATGCACAGGGAGGGCAGTCAGAATTCCCACAATCATCAGGTGCTGATCCTGTAACTAATTCTTATAAAAACCCCAAGACCAGCTGAACCTGCCAGGACACACAGCTGTTATCCTCATCAATACCCAAAGTGGTCAGCTCCACCAACTTTTCCTCAGCCTAGGTGTGCACTGATCTACTCCAGATCCAGAGAGAATAAGAAGCCATCACTTCAAAAGACTACACGAACTACTTACTCAACTGTACAAAACTGTACATTTTGCGGTATTTGGAACATCTCAATTAAAAAAAGACTGCAGGGGGTCAGTTATTTCTTTACTATTCATTCATTCACTCAAGACCATTACTCCCCTAACATGCTCCTTTAAACCATTTGGCTCTACCATTTTCTTCATTGTTATCATCTATTCCTAGCCCCTCAGCCACAGGTAGCTAAGAGGCCCTTACAACTCCTGTTCATCTAATTCAAGTCACTAGGACCTGAATGAACAAATTCTGTGTATGGGAGAGGACAGCTCAGAGAACCAACTGAGCTTTTGTTTCCAATGAGGAATACAAGCTTTGAAGCCTCAGATTTGATTCGATCCCAACTCTGACACTTTCTTCATATGCAAACCTTGAACAAGGTACTCTTTGAGTCTCAGTCTCCTGAAAATGGAAATACCACCTACTCACAGTGAAGATGAGAGGAGAGAACAAAAATTAGGTAGAATGTTGGTTTAACATTACAGTCATCACTACTACTATTTATTTCCAATGTTAGTAATTATAACAGTAACTCAGGCCTCCCTTAGGAGATTCATGCCCTAATAAATTATCATCTCTGACACAAATACAGCTCCTTAGCAAGATTTCTGACCACAGATGGACAGAAAAAGAACAGGGAGAAGTTTGAGCCAGAAAGCACAGGGAAGCAGGGTCAAGAGTCAGAAAGAAGAGACCACAAGCTGAATCTTGGCCCCCTGTGGGTAAGGGAAGGTAGGCAGCTCTGGGGTCCTTCCCACCCTTCCACCCATAAACCCAACCCTCCTTACTTGAGCACCTCTTCTCGACACTGTTTTTGGGGTGCAAAGCAGGCGATGGCCCAGACTTTGATCTCAATCCCATTGTAGAACTGCTTCCCTCGCATGTCCCAGACACCTTGATTAGGTGTGGCAATGGCCCGGTTCTGGGGATAGGAAGAGCGGGTGCCCAGGTGAGCCTCAGTAGAGCCAGGTAAGTAGAGGGGCAAAAGCCCCTGGCTATACAATCCAATTCCCCCTCCCATATGCCCCAGAGATGTTGTCTGGCCCTGACCCTGCTCACCCGGCCGCCGTACTGCAAGATGGGCGCCGGCAGCACTCGCCCTGTCACCTCCGTCATGTCATCCTTCACTTTGATCCCAAATTCCTGGATGTAGGGATCTAGGTTGTAGCTGGCATTCTTCATCTGCAAGACAAAAGAAGGGGATGTCAGGGGAGCAGCAGCTTGGCAATACTGCTCACCCTCTAGGTCCCAAGGAGAAAGCCCTGAAGAGCAGCTGGGGCTGGAAAGTAATAGCCCTAAAAAAGGGGGGAAAGTGGAAAATGAAGTAAGTGGGAGTGGATAACACAGGGAAGTAATACTGGAGGGAAAAAGAAATAGGAAGCCAAGTAGCTACAGGGTCAAGAAACAAGAGCAGTCCTATGGAATCCCGGGCAACAAATCCAGACTTGTGTTCTCCTGAGGATCCTGCCAAGGCAGAAAAGCATCTATGCTACCAGGGGCCCCAATGACTGAGCAACCAAGCATACATTTCTCTGCAGCCCTACTGACCAGGCGGCTAATCTCCTCCTGTCTGTCTGGGGCCGACCTAGCTGTAGCCTTTATCATGGTCGAAGTCTGGTTGTCGGTCAACTTCTTAATGCAGCGCTGCCCAGCCACAATGTTACAGACCTGAGGAAACGAGAAGGACAGGTAGCTCTGGCTTGAGTACAGTCCATCCTGTACCCAGAGCCCCACAATAAGGGAGGAGATCTTGGCTGTCAGCCCTGGGAAGGAGACTGCAAAATCTCTTGTGCAGAGACAGGTAAGTTAGAAAATATCCATGTGCAATACGAAAGGCAATACAGCCACTCTGTCATTAACAGATTGGGATCCAGAGCCAGATCTGGGCTCAGGTCTCATGTTAACTGGGGAGAACAGTAACAATCTCATAGGGTTGTTCGGAGACTAAATAAAATAAAGCACTTAAAGGACTGAGAATAGTTCTAAAACACAGTAAACAGTAAACTCTAACATACATTATTATTTACCAAAGGACCCAGCATGGAACTCTTCTGAATAGTAAAAACTCAAGATACACAAACTGGATTCCTAAGGTAGTAGATAGCTCTTCAATGATGACAAGCATTCAGTTGCTCCCCTGCAACCTACCAGGGGAACTAGGGATGGCTCTTAACTTGAGCCCTAACCTACAAATGATCACTAAGCTCTTAGACCACAGAAATCACGGTCTCCGTTGGCTGATAGCGTCCTTCATTGGTGTGAGGGACATCTTGCCATGCATTCCTGTTTTGAGCCCAAGAGAACACAATGGAGATCAGAAAAGATTTTCTAGTGATAAACAAGTCTTCCATTCCCCAAAATACTATATTCAGAATGCTGGGAATGGGAAGCCTTTTGGCAGAGTAGAGAGTGCCAGTAATTTGCAAAGACTTAAGTCTGAAGCCCACGTTTGCCATTTCCAAGTGATTTACCTTGGACAGATCTCGTAACTACTCTGAAACTCTGCTTCTTTAATTTCAGTCATGGGATAAAACATTGGCTGTCTATGAAGTTGCTGTGAGGGGTTAGAGAAAATGAAATATGTGACTTGTTCACACAGGGCCAACACTATCTAAGTACTGGTTTTCCTTCTAATTTCCAAAGTTCATTTTTTATTTCCAAGGTTCATTTTGAACAATGGTAAGGAAAACCACCCTGCCCTTAACCTCACATGCTCTTAAATTCCATATCCCAAAGAATATACAAATTACGGATTCAATCAATAAAAATCCTTAATTGTTAGAATTTATATGGTTGTACTCTTAAAAGCAGCTTAAAGTTGTAGCACTCTTGAGAGATGATTTCAGCTACAGAATTAACATTAGGAAAAAAACTAAAGCAGGGATGTGGAGAAAATGGAACCCTTGTACACTGCTGGTGAGAATGTGAAATAGTACAGCCACTGTGGAAAACAATATGGTGATTCCACAAAAAATTAAACACACAATTATGATACGATTCAGTAAATCCACATCTGAGTATGTAGTGAAAGTAGGGATTAGAACAAATATCTGTACACCTATATTCACAGCAGCATTATTTATTATAGCTAAAAAAGAGGAAGCAACCTAAGTTGTCAATCAATGAATGAATGGATAAAAAAATGTGGTAATATGTGTACAAGAGTATTATTTCGCCTTATAAAGGAAGAAAATTCTGACACATGCTAAAATATAATAAGCCTTGAAGACATTATGCTAAATGGAATGTGCCAGTCAAAAAAAGACAATTATATAATTCCATTCATATGAAATGTCCAAAATAGACAAATACACAGAGACAGAAATAGATTAGTGATTACAAAGGGCTGATTGGTGGAGAGGAGGAGTGTAAGTGACTACTATTGGGATGGGTTGTCTTTTGGAGATGACATAATGTTTTAGAATTAGATAATAGTGATTGTTATACAATTCTGAATATACTAAAAACCACTGAACTGTACACTTCCTAAGAGGATAAATGTTATGGTATGTGAACTATTATCTTGATAAAGTTATTCTAAAAAACAAAACAAAATAAAAACCCTACCTGGCTATAATAGCCTACATGATTTGACCCTGTACCTCTCTCCAAATTCATCCCCTATTATTTTTCCCCCTCCTATACCACACACCAGCCACTATGGCCTTCTGGCTATCTTAAAAAATCCAAGCTCCCTACTGCTTTAGAGCCTTTGTACTTACTATTTACCTCCTGCCTGGAAGACTCTTCCTTTGGGTTATTACGAGGTGGTTTCTATCTCATAATTTAAGACTCAAATGTCTCCTAAGAGAGGCCTTCCTTGACCATAATAACTAAAGTGGCTCTCCAATCCCCTCCTCCCTTATTTGTCCCCTTCATCTTTTATTATTCTTTTATCACTTAAAACTATCTGACACTCTCTTATTTATCTATTTATTGTCTATCTCCCCCCTTCTAAAAACGATAATAAGAATAAAAATATGTCATTATATAAATTATTCACCTTGGAAATTAATGTTTCAACAGAAGTAATGTTAATTTGCTAAAAAATCTCAGCTTGCAGTAATATTAACTAAACGCCCATCTACTTAGCTGGGGTTGTCCCTAAGGACTCCCGTTTACACCTCAAGAGAACATACTGTCTTCATCCCACTTTCCATGCATCGACACCTATTAATTAAAGTCCGAGTTCTTGGGTTTTGGGATCTTATCTCCCCTCAGCCTAATTTCCTTCTGGTTAGTTCTGAAATCCCAGAAGCTCACATAAGGCTTGAGCTTTATAGTCCCAGCTATCGGACTCCTGCCATGAGAACAAAGAGTAAGATGTTATTCTAGGCTAGTGCGTCTCCAAATTTAATGTTCACATGAATCCTTCTTTGGATTCTGTTAAAAACTACTGACTCAATAGTTCTAGGTGGAACCTGAGATTCCACATGTCAAACAAGTTCCACTCAGGTAATGCCTGTTGCTGTTGGTCTACTGAACACACTTTGAGTAGTACTGGTCTAAACAATGAAGAAGTCAGCAGTGGTTTCTCATTAGACATCTTAGCTGGTATATACCAAATCAAATACAGCCCAATAGTTCTGCATTTGTATTCTATGACTTAAATAATATTTTTATTCTTTAATTGCAGGATTTCAAAGGTCTGCTAAAGCATAAAAACATAGCAAATCTTGGGGCTAACTTTTTCAAAAGAAACACACTGATGGGGGATCCCTGGGTGGCTCAGCATTTTGGCGCCTGCCTTTGGCCCAGGGCATGATCCTAGAGTCCCAGGATTGAGTCCCACATCAGGCTTCCTGCATGGAGCCTGCTTCTCCTCTCTCTCTTCCTCTGTGTGTATGTGTGTGTGTCTCATGAATAAATAAAATCTTTTTAAAAAATAAATAAATAAATTTAAAAAAACACAGTGTGTTCCAGAAACACACTGATTATCACATTGATAACATGAATAGGACTCACATTATAGCTAAAATGTATCTCCATTTTCTGGAAAATAAGGTATACTTGTATTTCTAGGTCATTTAGGATCCCCAGCTCCAGATAAGGTTAAGAGAAATTAACAGGGTAAGATAAATAAAAATTAAAATGAATGTAGATATCTGAAATCTCGGTCCTGAACAAACTAATTATTTATTAAACATAAATACAGCTTTCACCTCTGCCTGGCAATCCTAAAAGAACTTGAGAGCAGTATAGGATCTAACAAAAGAAATTAACAGGTTAAGAATGAGGCCTGCACTTCACTGAATGACCTATTACCTCTCAGAATGTCAATTTTCCAAACTTCAAAATGGGAATGAGAGATTACGAATGGAAGAACAGACCTCTGATGATCTGTGTGCAGGTACAATACTTGTTCTCCAACCCAGCCATTACTTGGCAGCCTCACCTCTAGGGGCAGGTAGGTATGCTTTTGTTCTTGGCCAACTTGCAGGCAGGGCAGGTGGGGATACTTGAGCTGAAGGTTGTATTTCTGCTTGAAATACTGTGCCACTGTGCACTCCACAGTCTGTCCACTCTCCAGCTGCAAGGGAAACCTGTTTGGGGGAGGGGAAGGAAGTGTCAGAGCTCGGCATTTAATGCCCTCGCTTTAGACTTAGAACCATGGGAAGCCCCAGACTTGTCTTCATCCCTATCCAGCCTCTTTGAGCACTTCCACTCATGGGAAAATAGGCAATACAGGGCTCCCAGAGTGAAGCTAAAGATGTGAGAAGTTCCACAACACTGAAGACCATAACTGACTCATCTGCATTTCTAGTGCTAAGCATAAAGTTTAACACACAGCAGGCACTCATAGCCCAGTAGTCTGAGGTCAGGAAGGTGGATGGAATCAATGACAGCTTCCCAAAGGCCTAGTCCAGAAGCCCCGCTTTCTTTTTCAGGAGGAGTAACAGGCTGTGAGAGAGAGATCCTAACACTTACAGAACTGACATACCAGCCAGGGTAACACTCTTGTTCTAGAGGAAAGGCGGTAAAAATGGTAAGGAGAGTACCAAGGATCTGGGAAGTTTGGAGGAGGGATAAACTCTCACAGCTTATCTTCAAAAACAGGGCTCATCCTAAGGGATGGTAGGGGTCAGGGAAGGGAAAGGAGTGAAAGGAGTATGTTGGCATATCAGCCCTCTTCCACCAAGGTATGGCTAAGCAGCCTGTCAACTCACGTCTGATGGCTGGCAGGGCGGCGGGTAACATTACACACTCGGTATTTCCTCTTCATCTGTCCACAGTGGGTCACTTCCACCTTTAGGCCTGGGACACACACACTGCTTGTCAGGGTTGGAAAAGGCTGCTCATGTGCCCAGGCTTGGCCTCTCCCCTGAACATATCCCAAGGGGATCTCCTTTTAGGACTGAAGAGAAAGTAGTGCCATTCCCTTCCCCACCTGGTTGGGTCCTCACCTTTGATCTCCTTGGTGAAACGCACACGCTGAGAGTCCGTGAGGGGCTTAGGCTGCTCATCTATGTTCCTGATGTCCAGCACCTCACACATGAACTCAATCACTGGCTGCGCCTTGTAGAAGGCAGTGGCTGAGACTGTGGGGACAGGGTGGGTATAGCTCAGCTCAGGTTCAGTCTTCCAGAATAAATGGAGGCACTGCTCTTTACACCCTCTTCCTTATAGGGTATTGGGGTGGGGGAAGGGTCCCAGGGCTATAGGGATTAGACTAGGAGTGTGGTTGCAGAGCTGGGAGGGATGAGGCTGGGAGTGTGGTCACTGGACTCAGGGTGCCCCTGGCTCCATAGCTCTCCCCACTCACCATCAATGTTGAGCATCATCTTCCACATGGCAGGGCGCACAGACTGGTGAAAGCCGAACCAGACCTCGCGCCCACCCCCCAGCGGGTGGTAGTAGCCCTCAGGCGGTGAGAAGAAGGAGCGGCCCACGGGGGTGTACCTGGCAGGGACAGGCAGAGAACTGGTCCCTCGGGCACAGGCCCCCACCCTGTGAGGCATCCTGGGCACGGAGGAGCCCTGGCCTGGAAGGCAGGACACCAGGGCTTTAATTCCAGCTCTGATCTTTTACTGGCTTTATGACTGACCTTGTGCAAGTCTATCCTTTCTCTGTCCTGCAGGGACAGATGGGGTAGAGGTCCAAAGAGATCTATAAGGGACAGGGCTGAGGCTTTAAACACCTAAATGTAAATGCATACTGCTTGGCATATGCCAGGGCTTCAACAAATGTTTTACTTGAAAGGCATACGCTGTGGGACTTTAGTATGTGCTCTTCCCCTCCTCCCCACACAGCAGTTTTGCCAAGACTAGTAGCCCAGATACTAACTACACCCAGTACCTCATGGATGCCAGGTGCCTCATGGCGACATCCAGGGCTTGCACAGACTCCAAGGGAACAGGGATCTGGCCACTGACAAGGGCCTCATGCAGCATGCGCCAGCTAACAATAGCTAGCCATTTGATGGAGACCTTGAAGATTCGATCCTTCCCTTCCCCAGGGATTGTCACCTCAAAGTCAACCTTCAGAAAAAAGGAGTAAAGGATTGCTAGTGCGTTCCCACAGTCCAACATTCCTACCCCCTGCCCTAGCTGTCCTCCACCACACGGATTTGCCAAGAATCTGCTCCTGAACCTGACAGGGGCTCTCACAACGAAGATTTCAGAGGAAATCCAGCCCTTTAGTCTGTAGCCACCTTAGCTGAGTACTGCTATCCCTCTCGGCCTAGCAGAAAGTCCTTCAGGTCTGTTTTAAGTCTAATCTCAGTCCATCTGGGACAAGAACAGACATACAGTAGGCTAAATAAACATCAGCATCTACTCATCCCTCACCCTAAAACACACTTTCTCATCATAAAAGATGAAGGAATTTCTGGACTGCCCGGCTCCAAAGAGGCCTATATGAGTTCTGACCCACCTCAGACCACTAACAGGTCTAGCCTGACTCCCGGCTTACCCGTTCATTGCCAATGGGCAGGGCTGTGACAGTGTAAATGTTCTTCTTTCCATCATACACAGGCTTGCGATCACCAAAGATCTGAGGCTTGAAATGCTGGACCATGTACTCCACCACTTCCCTGCAGGGACAGGAGCACCCTGTGGAAACTGAGAGACTACTCGGAGCTCTTGGAAGCAACTCGGTGTTCAAATAACGGCCATCCCCTCCTAGCAGCCACTCTAATCTCATCTACTCTATGGTAGCATTTCTCAAACATCAACGTTCATATGAATCAACTGGAGATTTTATTAAAATGCAGATTCTAATTCAGGTCTAGAGCAGAGCCTGAAATGCTACAGTTCTAACAAGCTACCAAGAGATGCTTCTGGTTCTCAGATCACCAAGGCTCTAAAGGATCTGAAAGAATAGGTACAAGTAAGTGCCTTCTGAGCAGAGGGGGAGGCAGAGAGGAAAAATGCTTATTCCCAGGGTCTATGTAGAATCAGGAATAGAATCCAGGCTATTCCAATCCCCAAGCTGAGACATAAAAAAGGTAGATGAGGTAAAGATATGAATTGGAATAGGAATAAACTGTGGAAGAAGAACTCCATCTCTTTTACCTCTCTGAACCCCTTAGTCCCACCACCCCATTAACACTCCATTATAATCTTTTTCTTGATTTTACTTCCTGTCCTCTGCCACTAAGATCCCAGAGTGTCCATCTAAAACCTTCAAAATACCATCCCATCCAATTATCTGACCTCTTCACTTTCTAAACAAAAGCTCTTGAATGTTACTGGACCTCTTCACTTTCTAAAGCAAAGCTCTTCACTTTCTAAACCTCTTCACTTTCTAAACCAAAGCTCTTGAAAACTACTGGATAAAAAGACTCAAATTGTACATTGTAAGCAACTGTAAACAAATAGTTTCAATCCCAATTAGGCTTTAGTGCTATCAAGCAATTTTATGACCCTGATGGTTCCATCCCTCATAGATTGTGTCAAACTTTCTCCTCTACCCTCTAACTCCAGAACCCACTCCTACCTCCAATTAAAAGCAACTCTACTGACTTTAAAAAGAGTAGTGCAAGACAGGCAAGGCCACCTTCAAGTTCCCAGACACACGTATAAACAAATTTATATATGCATATCTCTTTTCCTTTTTTCCCTCTCACATTTGAAATGTCCCTTCTATATATAATTTTTAAATATATGAAGATTTGTTCAACTTCAGTCATTAGAGAAATATGATTAAGATTAAGCCAAGATTGGGGAGCCTAGGTGACTCAGTTGATAGAGCCTGCAACTCTTGATCTCGGGGTTGTGAGTTCAAGCCTCACATGGGGCACAGAGCTTACTTAAAAAAAGAAAGAAGAAAGAAAGAAAAGAAAGAAAGAAAGAAAGAAAGAAAGAAAGAAAGAAAGAAAGAAAGAAAGAAAGAAAGAAAGAAAGAAAGAAAGAAAGAAAGAAAAAGAAAGAAAGAAAGAGAAAGAAAGAAAGAAAGAAAGAAAGAAAGAAAGAAAGAAAGAAAGAAAGAAAGAAAGAAAGAAAGAAAGAAAGAAACTGTGGGATGCCTGGGTGGCTCAGAGGTTGAGCAGCTGCCTTTGGCTCAGGGAGTGATCCTAGAGTTCCGGGATCAGGTCTCACATCGGGCTCCCTGCATGGAGCCTGCCTCTCCCTCTGCCTAAGTCTCTGCCTCTCTCCTGTGTCTCTCATGAATAAATAAAATTTTAAAAAATAAAATAAAATAAAATAAAATAAAATAAAATAAAATAAAATAGAAAAAAAAATTAGGGACGCCTGGGTGGTTCAGTGGTTGAACATCTGCCTTTGGCTCAGGGCGTGATCCCAGGGTCATGGGATCAAGTTTCACATCAGGCTTCCCATGGGGAGCCTGCCTCTCCCTCTGCCTGTGTCTCTGCCTCTCTGTGACTCTCATGAATAAATAAAATCTTTAAAAAAAAAAAAAAAAGGAAGAAAAAAATTAGACCAAGATATAATTTTCTGCTTATCAGAATCCAAAGATCAAAAAATCCAACATACTGGATTGGTATAGATATGGGAAGAGGCACGTGATATTCTGATAATGAGAGTATAAATTGGTACAACTTACCTTAAAAAAAAAAACCCACTGGTAATATTTCAAAGTTTCTCAACATAGTATGCCAGCAATTCTACTCCTAGTAATGTATCCTATAGTTACACTCATATTTGAGTGCAAAAATGTATCTATATTTAATAATATTCAACAGTTTCACTTTTGTAGCAGATGTTTAGGCTAAACCTAAATGTTCCTCAATAGGTTTATTAAAGAAGTTATAATACAACCATTCAATGGAATATCTATGGAGCTATGCAAAAGACTGAGGCAGATATACCTATACTGATAAATACTGTTTAGTGGAAAAAAGCAAAGTACAGAACAAGGCATATAGGATTCTATATTTTGTGTGTTTTAAAAAATGTTTTATATACACATATCCTTGCATACGCACACAAAAATATATGGAAACGTACTTAAAAATGGTAACAATGAATCCCTCTAGAGAAAGAGACTAAGGGACTGGAGACCAGGGTAACAGATATTTTTTGCTGCTGTTCTTTTTGCAGTATTTTATTTATTTATTTTTACATTGTGCATATGTAGTTTTCAAGTAATAACAAAATAAGTTAACTTTAAAAGGAAATATTGCCTCAGGGCACCCAGATGGCTTAGTTGGAAGAGCATGTGACTCTTGTTCTTAGGGTTGTGGATTTGAGCTCCATGTTGTGTGTAGAGATTACTTAAAAATAAAATCTTAAAAAAAAAAGAAATACTGCTTCTTCCAAGGCTAATTTCTCCAACTCTATGTACTGTAATGTCTTCCTGTCTTAGCAATGAATAGGAACACATTCTTCTCCTCTCTGTCCTATACCTTTAACTAGCTTCTTCTCTGTTTATAAGCATATCCATGTCTCATTCTTAAAAACTTTTCATTCATTTTAACAAATACCGCAATACACAATGCACTGTACTAGATCCCAGTAAATTCCCTCTAACCAACCATGCTTCACTGTCAAGCTATCTAGAAAAGGCTATCTGCTCTCACTATCCCTACCACATTACCTTCCACTTATTCCTCAACTGACTGTAGTTAGATTACTAGCCCAATTACTCTGCTGAAACTGCTTTACAAAAGGCACCAATTATCTCCTGATAGCCAAATTCAATGGTATTTTTCTTTCAACGTTTACTTTACCTGGAATTTCCTCCTCAAAAATGTCCTCGAATCTGATGATACCACCCTCTACTGATTTTCTGGATATTCTTTCAAGAGTCTAAAACTCAGTAAAGACTCCTGGACTTGGGACTTAGACATGCATCACTTACCGGTTGACTCTGCGAGGACACTTATCCGGCTTGATATCCACCTCGTAGTGGTAGACATCAATTTTAGGGATGTCCACCTCAAAGTAATTGGCCAGGAGCTTGATTGGTTTCCCCACAGTGCCAATGCCAGGCCGGCGAGGTGCCTGGAACACCTGCTGCAGGGGGGGCAGGTAGGCGCCTGCAGCTACAAGATAAAGAGGCTCATGAGGATACAGTCTCGCAATTCCTTACCATTCTGATCAGAGAAGACACAAGGCCTTCCAGAACAGGAACAAGAGAGTATAGGGGCAGCCTCTTTCCTGCCTATCCAAACCAACTGAGGGGTTCTACTGGCTCAGACAATCCATGTTCACTTTTTTTAAACCTCTCTACAGTTAAAAAAATTATCTTTGTTGTCTCTCTTCAATTCATCAAGTGAATACTTAATATGTTTCTATTAAATGTTAAGTAGAAGAGCTAAATCTGGCTCCCAATAATAAAACTTTTTTTTCTTGTACCAGGTTAAGACATCTGCCTCTACCAGGTATCTGGTAAACCGAGTAGCTTCTCTTCTCTGCCAGCCAGATGCTCACTTCACTCATCACCATCCTGAACATGAAATAACAACATCTTAATGCTTCTCTGTAATGTAGGCAGGAGGAAAATCCAAAGAAGGTCAGGCTAGTGGGACGTGAGGGAGACAATGTTTTAGAAAGGATGAATGCAACTGAATGGCTGAGGTTGGAGAGACAGAAAAGTAGAAAAGGCTAAAAAAAATAGAGCTTGGAGACAAAAGAAAGGAGAGAGACTGAAAGAGGGAGCTGACAAAGAGGCCACAACTTGAAGTCACAGCAGAAAGAGGCTTGATCTAGGAAGGTAGGAAGGTTGGAGTTAAGGCCTAGGCAACATACAGGTTAGAGTTGGGAGTTTGAGCAAGCAAGACTGAGACTGGGGAAACAAACAAACAAAAAAAAGGTTCAAAAGAGAAAAAGCTAGGGAATGAAGACAGGCAGAACACAGGAGAAGGAGTCAAGAGCAGGCTAGAGTAGAGGACTTGGGAAGGAGAGGCAGCCATTAGCATGCTGGAGAAGATGGAGACACTGGCTCTGAAGAGAAGAGGTGCTCTGCACAGCCACAGCTCCCTCCACACAGAGGGCCCAGACAATAACAGAAGGAATCAATTTCAAGATCGAGCAGGCCCCTGGGAAAGGGCTAGGGCAGGGCCAGCTTCCACCACTTTCTCCTCTCTTGCCACCAGCTAGATTGCTGCCCCTAGTTTTATCTTCTAGCTTGAGAGGAAAGGGTGGAAAAAGGGACACTAAGAGAAGCCTTTGTCCACAGCTACTATTGTCCTTGCCAGTAGCAGACCAGCCCAGGTGGGAGGAGAGAGGGATAAACCAGCCCAGAATCTCCCATCATCATAGCTCTGCTTTCAAAGTCCGTCTGGCTGGGGGATGGGGCATATCCTCAGCTGGGGGGTCAGGAAGAGGTCAGAACCATTCATGGGAGGGGCATGTTTCCCAGAGCTAAGCAGCTATGTCTCCTTCTAACCACCTGTCAAGCCCAGCCCTATCTGCAGACCGGGAAATAGAGACAGAAAGGGAGGCTCAGCCTGGGGGGACAGGCCTTCAAGGAGTCAGCTCCAGGGAGAAGTGAAAGCCTAACTACTAGCACCTGGGTGCCTTCTCCACAAACAGCTGGACAGAAACTGCACACGAGCAACAGATAGATGCAAACACCTAGTGAGACACGTTCCTGTCATGTATACCCAAACACACACTTAGACCTAGATGGTTTACCTTTATACACATACCCCTCACCACTCTAGATCGTGAGTTCTTCAAGAGCAAGGGCTATATCTTGCCTCCTAGCCTACAGGAGGTGTTCAACATAAAGATATTAAATGAATGAACAAACAGATCCACAGACACGTCACAAAGAACACACTAGCATACATAGCACCCAAACACCTGTAAACTGCTCAAAAACAATGATAAGCCTTGTACAAGATAAACATCCTGGCGGATATAAGAGATATTCTTCCCCTCCCCAAGCTTTTACATTCCATTCACCTCCTTAGCCTTCTAGGCTGAATAATCTTTTGGAGTCTTGGGAAAAAGACATCCCCTAGAGCTGGGGGCTGGGTAGAAATGATGGGGGATGGGACAGGCACTCTAGCCTCCAAAGGCTTCTCTTCCCCAGAAATAGAACTACACACCAAATTCAGCCTTAGGCACCCTCCACTCCAAGGAGGCTTTGGGAAAACAGGAGAACCCCCACCTTCCCCTTCATCCCCAAACTAGGGAAGGCGAAAGGGAGAACCTCTCTCCCATCCCATCCCCCTGCAAGCCTTAGACAGTACAAAGTTCCCCCCACCCCTTACCCCACCCTGCCCCCAGCTTTCAGTCTGAGAAAGGGAGACACTTCCCTTCAAACCCAGACAGGGACAGACGGCCACTTTGTGATGCAGATGAGGGCCCCAGCACAGAGGACAAAGCTTGGGCCTTGGGGGAAGGGGCGGGGCGCTTCCTTGCAGACAAAAGCAAGGAGGGAGGGGCCATGGAAAGGACACTCCCCCTCCCCCATCCCCAACCAGCCCTGAGAAGGAAAAGTAACAGCTCAAAGGCCTGGCTCAGGGATTCCCTCCCTGCAGTTTTGAGGCCCACATACCTCTTTAGGAGCCAGACTGCCTATTCAAAACACAAACTCAAGGCTGGGTTAGCTGTACAGTAAGACTAAAAAGCCAACCTCTTCTAAAAAAAAAACTTGTCCACACCTGAGTATCACAAATTACTAAATATCCACATGTATGTGCTTAACCACTTATGTTCACACTGGAATGTGATTCAATTACTAAATGTGTACTTTGTGTCAGGACCTAGGCATTTGCTGTTTCCACAGGTAAATTAGACATCACCTCTACTGTCCTGGAGCTCCCAATCCAGTGTTATGTGCTTAGAACACATCTGAGCACAGAAAGCGCATCAGGACACAAGCCCAGCAAAGGCAGCAGCAGTACCTTTAGTGTTGTGTACTGTGTCCTCCAACTTCCAAGAGAATAGTCTGGGCCTAGGAAGGAGGCAGTTATAGGGTCCCTCCATTCACAGCTTCCAGACTGAATTTTAATTACACCTTTTGATGAGGCAAAGCCTGTCCCACTGGCCAACTCCAGATACCAGGCTCTAGTCCCCTTCCCAAAAGCTTATCTCCTATAACAAGCAAGAAAGTCAGTTTTTTCATCACTCCAGAGTCCATTAGGAATTCATCAGAATTAAATCATTAGCAGTCTGGTATGGGTGCCAGCTCCCAGCAATCCATCTGGACCTCTGTGACTTACTCCTACTCTAGTACACAGGTTGCTGTAAATAGTCTCCAGCCTTAGAAAACCAAGAGAGTTCCTAGAATGGAGAAAGAATCCTAAGGGAAGGAGAAATAATTTTCTGAAGTCAGTTGCTCCTTGCACTCTACATGAAGACCCACACAGCCTTTACAAGATTGTTTTTGTTTGGGGGGGGGAGGGGAGGAAGTAGTCACTAAGTACTTATAGATCACTAAATGGATGACTTGAATAAATTGGCAGGAGCTATTTCCTTGAGGGGGGGTAAGATCTGGCATAGAGAGATGATGATTCTTCCACCACCAATGCCAATGAAATTCTTGTCCCAGATGAAATTCACATCCTGAATAGAAATCCTATGTCCACCCCTGGAGCAAATGGAAAGAGGTAGTGAGACAAGACCCAAAGGACTCCCAGGTCCAGAATGCTCCTCTGATCAAAGGGTAAAAGACCTAGGACACAAGCAGGTGTCTCCATCCCACAGCCCATCCTGGAGACTCTGGTCTTCTTGAAGCTGCCCTACCCCAGTCTCTCCTCAGTTCCCATGTCCCTTCCTCCAGACTGCCTGTGGATAAGGAGAAGTCAAGGCTAACACCTGAGACTCACCAGGGTAAAAGCTATAAACCCCCTCTCCCCCAAACGACTTATTTGTGACAAAAGCCTAGCTCGGCAACCTTGGGTCTAGTAACACGACCCTAACAGTTTCTGGGGAGCAGAGAAACAAAAAAGAAAAGATACCCAGTGGGGGGCAGAAGCAACTAAAAATATTAAAGTACAGAGATTAGGCTGTCACTTGAGGGGACATTTCAATGGAAAAATCATTATCTTTGAATTAAAAGATCCCATCTCTACAAAGTATTGGACCAGAAACGAGGAAACCAGGCAGACAGCCCCTTCCAGGTACACCTGGTACTCGCCTTGGTCTCTCGGTAACCAACACCTTTTGTGAGTCCTCTCTTCAGGGGGGACTTGCCCCCAGTACATTGCCTTGGACCCAGTCTTTCCTCACCCCAGGGGCATAAGGCGGCAGCTTCCGTCAGCCCGTTTTGGCAAACTGTGACTGAGGGTTTCCAGGATCAAGGAAGAGCCCCAGAGACGGGGAAGGGGCCCATTTCTATTTGCACTCTGCCAGCTGAAACTCAGAACGCGCCCCAGCAGCGGGCTCCTTTTCCCGAGCCAAACCGGGCGGGGTGGGGGGTTGGGGGATCCGGGCAGCCACGCCCCCACCACCCCGGGCAGCCCCTTCCAAACGCCACCTCCGCGCATGCTCCGGCGCCTCCGCTCCAGCTCCCCCGACTCACGGGGGGGAATCCCGGGCTGGATCCCCACCCACCGCCCCCTGACCCTCGCCCCCGCGTCAGGCCCGGCCGGGGCGGAGCTCACAGCCCAGCTCTGGCGCCTTCTCCCAGGAGACACCAGCCCAGCCCAGCCCCAGCCCCCGCCCCCCGGCAAGCAGCAGCCCCGGGCCCATCTGTGCCGACCCCCTCCTCTCCTGGACACCTGGAGCCCGCCCCCTGCCACCTGCCGGGCCTCTCCCTAGGCCTCCCGGGACCTCCGGCAGTCCTTACGTGCGTCCAGGCCCTCCTCCCAGACTACTTCCCACCTCCAGGAGCGCATACAGCCTCCGCGGGTAAACAGCCCCCGTCTTAGGGCTTCCTTCACAAGGTTTCCCCCGGAACTGCATACAGCCCCCTTCAAACTGGGCCCCCCAGCCCATAAGAGCCCCTCTCCGCACTCAGGAAGCCTTTCCTCACTCGGAAATCCTGTTCTTCGCGAGGGAGTCCCCCGGTCCGCGGAGCACGCACCGGCCCCCACTCAAAGGGGCCCTTACCTGCTCCCGAGGGTCCCGCTTCCATCCCATATACCCGTGCGGAGGTCAGGCGGCCTGGAGACTGTGGAGTCCAGAGTGAGGGGCCTAGGGACCCCGCACTCCGGCTGCTCGGGCTTCCGGGCCGGGCTCGGCACCCCCCCCAAGCCCGGCCGCTCGCGCCGCTGCCCCCGCAGCCTCCGTTGCCGCCGCCGCCGCGGAGCCTGCAGCAGCTCCCCCTGCGAGCGCCCGGCCAGCTGCCAGTGCGCAGGCGCGACCGCCAGGCCCAGGGGGCGGACGGGAACGAGTCAAGCGGGGCGCTCCGACGGCAACAAAGGCCAATGGAGAGGGGCGGGAGTGCCGGGGACCCGAGGCAGCGGCCCCTGGCGGTCACCCATCGCCATGCAGCCCGGCGGGAGGGCTCCGGTAGAGGCGCCGTGGAACCGCGCCGCGGCGCAAGCGGGGTGGGGCGGCGGGGGGGTGTCCCCCCGCCCGCAACGGCCTCTGGCCCTGTGTCTCTTCCCCAAAAAGGTCCCTCCAAGCCTACACACCGCCTTCCCCCTTTGCACAAGCCACCCGCACATTACGGGAGCCCCACCTCATTCCCAGGCCCCCCTCTCGCACTCGGAGCGCCCCATCACCCAGGGGCCCTGCCTCCCACCTCTCCTCCCAATCACCCTCATCCTTCAAGCCTCGGCTGCAAAGCGACTGCCTCCGCGAAGCCTTTCTCCGTCCCTAGTCACTGAACTCACTGACGCCACCCCCTCTTCCAGGCCGAGTGCTGGGCGCTGGGACCACAGACGAAAGAGACCCTGCCTACCCTGGAAGATGTCACAGTCTCAACTTAAGTGAGGCACAGAGTTCTATCTTCGCGACCTGGGAAGCACCTGCCTCTCCTTTCTCATCCCTCTCATGAGGGGAGAGCTTACCCCTCAACTCAATCTGCTTCTGTCCTCACCACGTCATTTAAAATACTTTTTTGTGTCAAAATTGAAAGGAAATTTTTTGATTCTTATTTCTCCGCAGCATCTGGCACTGGCCTCTCCTTCCTTTTTGAGCCTTACTTGGCTTTAGAATTTTCTGAGCTCTCCTATTGCCTAAATCTTTGTCAGTCTTCTTGAAGGGCCCCGTGTTGCTTTTTTGCCCCATTAAATAACAGTGTTCACGGTGGTTTCAAATCCAGCTCTCTTCTCATTCCACTCTGCTTTTCCCTTGAAGGTTTCATCCTTCTTATGGCTCAACTATCCCTCCAAATCTCGATCTCCAGCCATGTCTTAGACTCATATTTCCAAATGTATGCTGGACAGCTCCACCTGGATCTCCAGCACTGCTAATTTGAAGTCCAAAATCAAACTCTTTATCTTTCCCCCACAAATGTGCTTGTTCTGTACCTCCCTTCTCTACAAATGGAGACGATTTCCAGAAATAATAGTTTCTCTCCCTTGCTTCTTGCCCCCATTCAGCTGTTCACCAAGTCCTGACATGTTTACCTCCTGACTTGCTCTCACATGACCCTTCACCATTCTGCAGGCTCCTTGTGCTACTGCAGATCCTTGGTGCTAGTACATACCTTGCCAAAAGTAATATAGCCACTTCCTTGCTAGTCTTGCAGTTTCTGGGAACATTTCTCTCATTCAGTTTGCGGCAGTTGGGAGGTGGTAAGATACCCATTTCAAACACCACGTTCCCATATATTCATATGTATTCATCCATATGTATTTTTTAATGCCTACTTTACACTAGATGCTATGCAGAGGGCTAGGAACTAAATAGATCATACCCAGTCCCTACACAGAAGGAGATTAATTTCTGACACTTACCATAGTGTGCCTTGCTTCTCTGCAGCAGGGGTTCTCAAATAAGCAAGCATCAAAATCATCTGGAGAGCTTGTTAAAACATTGCTGAGCCCCGCCTCCAGAGTTTGTGATTCAATAGGTCTTGGGTAGAACCCAAAAATGTGCATTTCTTTTTTTTTTTTTTTCAGGATGCATTTCTAATAAGTTGCTAGATGAGGCTGATGCTGCTGATCTAGAGATGAACTGCTCTACAGCATAAAGTTAAGAAGAAAGGCTCTAGAGCCAGCCTGTTTTGGCTTTAATCCTGGTGCTGCAATTTACTAGCTATGTAATAACACAGGGCAAATTATTTACTTTCGCTGTGTCTCAATTTCCTCCTTCCCCATTTTCAGGGATGAAAATAGCACCTACCTCAACTGGGCTGCATGTAAAGACCTTAGAACAGTACCTAGAAGAATGCAAAGTATTAGCTGTAATCACTGTCTGCCTCTTGTACTATATTCTAAGTTCCTGAAGAAAAGGGACCAAATCAGATGCATCTTGTCCCCCTTTAGTGCCTGGAACAAGCTGTGCCTAGAATTATCAGTGAATATGGACTGATCTGAATCAAATAGATGGCATCAAAACATCCTCAGAAATAGCAAGACCTTTGCCTTGGTATAACTAAGCTAGAAGCTCAGCATTCCATTAGAAGAGCTGGAATCCCCTGTTCTAATTACCGTCTCTCACTTAATTTTGCAGAAAGGCATTGGCCACTATCTGGCTCATCTCCAAAGTGGCCAGTGAAATCAAGCCTGGCTCTGGCCTTCCTGAAGACCATCTCCACCATCAGGGGTTTCACCCCAGGCTAAGCAAAGAGGTAGAGTTTAAGGGAAATTCTCATAGCATTCTGGTATTTTTAGGCAGACAAATTTCTTCCAGTAACTCCTGATGTACTTTTCTCAAAAAGCTAGTGGGTCCTTGGCTATTTGAAGTTCAATCCTTGCATCGCAGTCCACTACTAAATCACACTCAAAGGCCTCTGTCATGTGGGGCCAGAGCCAGGTCTTTCCAACTATACCCTCTCTACAGCCAGAGTTCCCTGGCCATAAACAAGAATGGCCTGGGGAGGGAGATCCCTGGGTGGCTCAGCGGTTTAGTGCCTGCCTTCTGCCCAGGGTGTGATCCTGGAGTCCCGGGATTAAGTCCCATATCGGGCTCCCTACATGGAGCCTGCTTCTCCCTCTGCCTGTGTCTCTGCTTCTCTGTGTCTCTCTCATGAATAATGAATAAATAAATAAAATCTTTAAAAAAAAAAAAAGAATGGCCTGGGGAAAAAATTGCATCTCCATCTTTATTTTCCTCTTTTTATATTTATTTTTTTTTAAAGATTTTATTTACTCATTCATGAGAGATACAGAGAGAGAGGCAGAGACACAGGCAGAGGGAGAAGCAGGCTCCATGCAGGGAGCCTGATGTGGGACTTGATCCTGGAATTCCGGGATCATGCCCTGAGCCAAAAGGCAGACACTCAATCGCTGAGCCACCCAGGTGCTCCTCTTTTTATATTTAAAATACAATCTAGGAACAATGGGATCAAGGCCCATCTATATTTTCCTCTTTTATATTTAAAATACAGTCTGAGAACAATGATATCAAGGTACATAACAGACAAGAAACAAATCATATACCCTATCAGGAAATGAATCACCAACAACTCAGGCATGCACCATCTCTTTTTATCTATAATAAAATATATTTCTTATTAAAAAAATTAAAAAATAAAATATATTTCTTATTTTAGAAGATAATTTTAAAAATCAGAAATGAACAGTGATTAATAAATATCAACTGGTACTTTGAAAAGACTTATGAAGTTAGTAGACTTTTTAAAAATTACTTTTTAAGAAGATTTAGTTGAGAGTGCACATACATGAGCAGGGGGAGGAGCAGAGGGAGAAAGAATCTCAAGCTGACTCCACATAGAGCTCTGAACCAGAGGCACTGCTCAATCTCACAACCCTGAGATCATGACCCAAGTGGAAATCAAGAGTCTAACACCTAACCAAGCCCTCCTAAGGTCCCCCCCCAAAATTGCTCTTTTTAAATCGGGGTATAATTGACATACAATAAATTGCACTTACAAAGTGTAAAGTTTAATCAATTCTAACTTATGTGTCAACCTGTGAAATCATCACCACAATCAAGGCAGTGAACATGTAACTCCCCAATTTTAAAACTTATCACAGAGAATAAATAAAAAGTAATTTTTTACATAACTATAGGCTAATGAATTTGAAACCCTAAGTAAAATTTAAAATTACATATACACTTTTTCTTTAAAAAATAAAAAACAGGGCGGCCTGGGTGGCTTAGTGGTTTAGCGCCGCCTTCAGCCCAGGGCCTGATCCTGGAGACCCGTGATCGAGTCCCACGTCAGGCTCCGTGCATAGAGCCTGCTTCACCCTCTGCCTGTGTCTCTGCCTCTCTCTCTCTGTGTCTCTCATTAATAAATAAATAAATCTTTTAAAAAATAAAATAAAAAACAAGGATCAAAAACAAGAATTAAGCAACAACTACAAAAGCCATTGAGAAAGTTATCAAAAATGCCCAAAGAACATCTGGCCCAGCAGGTTCACTGTTTAATACTTCCAATCATTCCTAGGGTACCTGGCTGGCTCAGTCAGTGAAGCATGTAACTCTTGATCTCAGGGTTGTGCATTTGAGCCCCATGTTAAATTACTTAAAAATAAATCTTAAAAATAATACTTCCAACCATTCCAGAAATAAATAATTCTGTTCTATGTTATACGAACAGTTTTTGGACATGGGAGCAAGAAGATTTTTTCATAGTTGTAGGTAAAGATCTTCATCTCTTATCAGATGATGATATTATAAAGAGATTTCGAGAATATGGAGGATGCAAAAATCACAAGTCAAATACTAGCGTACAGAATTCCCTAAGAGACTAATTAAAATATAACAGCTAATATTTTTTTTGTTATTTTTATTTTACTTTTAAGTAGACTCTATGTCCAATGTGGGGCTTGAACTCACAACCCTTAGATCAAGAGTCACATGTTCTACCAACTGAGCCAGTCAGGTGCCCCAACAATAATTAACATTGTAAAGTATTTTCTTAATGTTAAGTGCCAGGTAAGATTTCAACACTTTACATGTTAATTCACATAATCCTCACAAAAATCCTGGTGCATCACAGAACAAATAGGTGGGTTTGGGCTGAAAAGTAATAGGTAAATAGCCGGTGCAGGCAGGTACTATTATTAAATATGGAGATACAGTGGGGCAGCACCTGGATGGCTCAGTTGATTAAGCATCCAACTCTTGATTTCAGCTCAGGTCACGATCTCAGGATCCTGAGATAGAGCCCCATGCCATGCTCCACACTGGACAGGGAGTCTGCTTAAGATTCTCTCTCTCTCCCTCTCCATTTGCCCCTCCCCCTACTTGTGCAGTTGCTCTCTCTCTTTAAATAAAGTCTTTAA